ATAAAAGGCTCTGGGGCAGAGAAAGTAACCAAGTATTAGAAGAGAGAAAAAAAATTTTTTTTTGAGGAAGAATTGAAAATTACTGAGGTTCAGAGCATGTTCCCTAGAATAAATCATATCGAAATCTGAAAGAGGTAGTTGAGGGACTTTCATACCGTATGCCCACTACACTGTTTAATGCTGCTGCTTGAGGCTAAATGCAATGCTGAGAAACTCAGACATCTAGTCAACATTAAGCTTTGTCTGAGTCTCATGGTAATAACTATCTTTTGTTACCAAAGAAAAGCAGCAGAGAGTTTGTTGGCTGCTGCCCTGTAATGACGGTGCTTGATCTGACGGAAGACAGGTGCTCTATTTTCTATTTGTAAACAGCATCTTTATTGTGATCAAGAAAAGGCAAAGAAAGAAAGGTACTACTTGCACACCTCACTGTCTGAAAAAAGTCATAACTCGAGGACCAGTTCTGTTTCCCATTAATAGCAGCAATGAGAAGGCACAATGCAAGCTGGGATTGGGACCATATGAAAGTCCCTGATTGAACTTTTTTTTTTTGGCTGGCTAAACTTACATTAAAACAGTTGTCTTTTTTTTTCCTGAAGGTAGCAGAAAGTTCCTGATGTACTTTTCCGTTGCTTTCATTTATTCTCATAGTAATGTTAATCTCCAGTGTGTGCAGAATTAGCCAATCCATGTGTTAAACAAGAACATACCAGGTAGAAATCTTGTTCTCTGGGTGGGAAACAAAGCAGTTGAAAATGTGATTAAATGAAAAGAACCTTCTTACATGAGACTACACTTGCCTGCATCTATAGTTTGGCTCTGGTGGGGTGAAGTGCTGGTATACCAGCCAGTTAGGTGGCCACCATGGCACAAACCGAACTAGGGGTTCCATAATTAACACCCAAACTCACGCAGCTCTTACAGTTGATCTGCAGACAACTGGCTACAGCCACGTAGTCCTTTAGAGCCAAGTCTCAATCTCTTCCATCTGTAAAAGAGCAACATGGATCTTCCCATGGAGGAACCCATAAGCCCTGTGCTGAGGAAGAGGACTGGAGAGGTTTGCTGTCAACAGGGCTTCCTTCCCATAGGAAGCCCTTCAGAAGTCATGCTCTTTTCTCCACGGTGCCCCTTCCTCTGCCACTCAGTACTCCAGCCTTCCCCCAGAGTGACTCCTGCCCCATCACAGCACTTGATCCACAGGCATTCAAGTATCTGCAGAGAAGCAGTTTGGGAGGCCTTGTCCACAACCTCTGAAACCTCAGAGAAGTCCATGGGCAGTCTTCAAAAGGCCACAAAATTACAGTCCTCCCCTTCCCCAAGCAGGATGGGCAGGCCATGGACCACTGCTGATCACACACTCAAAGTGGCCAGGAAGGTCTGCCCAGTGATTGTGCCGTTACTTGGAGTGGGAAGTGCAGGCATGGCAAGAGGCAGACAAAAAGCAGGGCAGGCCAATGCTCCATGTCAGCTGTGAAGAACATCAGCATCCATTTTGCAGCTAAGGGAGAGACTGCTGTCTCCAGGACTCCGAAGGAATGGTTTGTGATGAGTGTATAGACAGGACAGGATTCCCCCTTTTAGCTGTCGTCTGTCCTCACGCCAATCCAGATCTGTGGGGAACAGAAAGAGACTTTCCAGCAAGACAATGCCTGACAATTCTGTTACTGAATGGTGTTAAGAATGATAGCTTATATAATCCTATAGCCTCATTTTATTTTAGCAGTATTTAATGAAAGAAGAGATGGTTGAACAAAGCAATTTCATATACTATTCAACAAGCGGCTCTTTCTGTATGAAGCATTAACAATAGCTGTCATCTTTGTACAAAAAAGGCTTCCAATTACTTCAATGCTAAGAGAAAATCCAAATGCAGCTGAGAGCCCCACAAGCAAATTATTTTAATACCATTATGGAAAAGGCAAATGTGTGACCCAGATCTTCATTTAATATTTTACTAGCCTTGAAAGTTAATTTGAGTTTGTGTTCAATTTTCTGGGAATTTTCTTCTTTACAGCTGTGCAATTTGGGCAGAGAACTGAACAGAACTGAGAACTGTCCTTTCCTCTCCACTTTTTTCACATGTTAGAGATAGGGAAAAGGGAGGAGATGACATGTAATTAATGTAAAATATAAAGAGAAAAGGAAGTCTATGATGTAAAAAATGTCATATAACTTCATTAAAATTCCTTTAGTACTCAGCAGGGAGATTTATAGGACTGGTAAGTGGAAGAGTATAAAAGAAAGATGGATTAGCTGCTTTAGTTTTGCTGGTGTTCGCTTATGCTATAAATCACATGACTAGAGGCTTTCTCTAAATTGTATCTACCTGTTGGTCTGTCTGTTCTGTCCCATATACTTTGGGTCATCTGAAAAAGGAGAAAGTGCATCCGGATCTCCCTATATCCATATCTCTGTCTGGATATAGATCGTACATTCTTCATGTGAATTCTTTCTCTGAACATTACTTTTAGTTACCATTTCTTCCATTAAAGGTTAGTCTAAAGTAGACCTGGTCTAGAAACACACAATGACACCCTTTTTCATCCAAAATTTCAAGTCAGGCAATTGTGGGATTTTTCAAGGAATGTCTCCATTTCTGCAACCATTCACAAGAATGGGTGGAAGATCTTCACCGAGAGGGTTTTCAAGCATTGGAAGAGACTGCCCAGGGAAGTGGTTGAGTCACTGTCCCTGGAGGTGTTTAAGACGCATAGATGTGGTGCTTAGGGACATGGTTTAGTGGCAGACTTGGCAGTGCTAGGTTAACTGTTGGACTATGATCTTAAATCTCTTTTCTAACCTAAATGATTCTATGACTCTATTCTGTGATTATATATCTTAGAAAATTAGCCATTGAGCTACAGAGACCCTTAGAGTTTTCTTAGCTCCAAGTCTTGGTTCCCAGTCTTTCTGACATGGAACCCATGCTCAGAAGCCACATTAGTAATATTTAATTATAGGTACTTGGAACCTTTCTCTTTCATTAGGTCTTACCCTGCAAAGTAGAGTGGCCACAACTAAAATGCCAATCAACAATGGCCTCTAGTTCATGTCAATTCTCTACTTATCTCTAGAAACTGCATGGGAGAGCACTTGTTAACTGGGGCTAAAAGTCATGCCAGAAACCACTCTAACAATTTAATATAAAAGATAACTGAGTACTAGAGCCTGGGAAGGGCACTATTTAATTTTATAGTATAGATGTAGCCTGAGAAACACGTCCTGGATTTGCATCAGGAAACCTCAAAGTTGCAGTTTTGATGGGTTGAGCTAGTGCCTGTTGAAGCTTCTAGTTTAAGGCATTTGTTTTTGTGAACCAAAATGGTTGATTGGTTTTAGTTGGTTTGTTGTTTTTCTTTGATAAAAATTTTGAAGGAAACTGAAGGGCAGGTATACTGAGAAGTACTGAAATACTTCTAGAGTATGAATACTCTTCAGGCATCCTTCCTTACACTTAAAATCTGTTTTAAAGGCAACTGTTGTCTTTAGGATCAGACTCTCAGATTGCTTTGGAAGCAAAACTGTGAGCAAAGCCTCAAGGTTAGCTGATATTGCCTCTCTAAAAATGGGAAGGTCATGCACCAGAGCGGTCATTACTCTGCTGCCTAGAAGAGGTAGGCAGACATTGGTAGGAAATGGTGATAGATGAAAGGTAGATCATGCTGTGTTCAGTTGCTCTTTCAGACAAATTTAGGTAGCCACTGAATACAATCACTGCTCTCTCTAAATGATTTGTGTATTTTTTTTATAAGCAGATTTTATTTCTTATTGTTTGCTAGCCACTATTTAGTATAATAAGAAACAAAAATACCATGTTTGAAATTAGATATATTCTGCTGATGACACAGAATCTTGAATGAAATCTAGATCTCATACCTTAACTAACCTCTGCTCTGTTAACAGTAATAGATAGAACTGAAGATGCATTTTTTTTAATAAAGGAAGTAATCTCATTTGATTTTGAAAGCACAGAGAGAGCAGGCTGCTGAGTTACAATGTGACGTCGTCTGTACAGTCACTTTTCTATGCATAGTGATTTGTTATTATTTTGAATTTCAGTGTTGAATTTATCTTAAAGTTGATTTCTAAGTGAATATTTATAGTATATGAGCAGAGAAAATAATGTGAGAGTCCCTGAGCTGCTCCATTCCCACACAGAAGCAATGTGAATGTCTGTGTCCTCTGTCAAGTTGCCTGGCTCATATTCATGCACAAGCGCAGTAGCTAATTTTACAGCATAGGGAGTGATATCTCTCTGCATTCCTTGGGGTGGAATCATTAGCGTAGGTAAATCTCTGTGCTGCAGCCAACAAATTTATTTGACACACAGTTTATGACCTGGTAGATGTAAATGTCTGCTGTGAAACTACTGATGGATGAAGGAAGAGAGCAAGTTATCTCACAAGATTTCCAGTTGGGCTAGAAATAATCTATCCTGTGAAATGTTGACAAGTTCACTTCTAATCTTAGTTAGAAAATTGAAGTTGGAGTAGATAGTGCTGAAAAATAATGGGGTGAAAATCTGTTCTAACTTTTCAAACCATTTCCTACATCCATTCTTAACTTACTACAATGTGCTTAGGGAGTTGCAGAGCTATTCAATCACTTTCATATTAACAGAAAAGCCCCATGTGCACAGTTTTTCGATGAACTATTTCCTGTGTTAAAGAGAACTTCTGGCTATTACTGTCTGTATAACACAGTTCACTGTTTTCTGCTAGTACATTTAGAGATTTATCTAAGTGTGAGGGACTCTTAACTGATTTTGAACAGCTTTACAGCTGTGTTTTCTTACAGCGTTACCTTTCTGACAGTAGTTGATTAAAATGAAGGGAACATGTAACAGCATTTATTCTTCTATACTACTTGTCTTTGTTAAAAGTGGGTGTTGCAGAGCTGCAAATGTAGGTCTACAAGAATAATCGTCAAGATAATACTGATCTGTCCCAGAAGGATGTGAAAATTTTTTTAAAGTCCTTTAATGTTCTTATGCCTAGGAATAGTGACCTGGGCTGTAGCTCTGAAACAGAAGCAGATGAGCAACATAAAAAATATGTGGAGATTAATCCCACAGCCTCAGGTATTTCCCAAGAACAGATTATAATTCTGCTTTTTTTTCCTAAAATCTGGCCTAGTTGTAGTAGGAGGTGGTGATAGTCAATACAGTCAATGACCTTAAAGCTGACATATTAAAATAGTGTGGAAAGGTCTAATTATTGTAAAGGTCACAGGATAAAAATTTTGTTCCAATTCTGTTATTTCCAGGAGCCAATGGAAATGCCGTACAGCTATCAAAATTCCTCAGTGGCCTTCAGCAACGCTAGATGTTTACTTTGTTGGGTCAACATTAGCAGAATTTATATTTCTTTAAATAAGGGAATTGTAGCTGAATTTTTAACATGGAAGAGGAAGATTAATATATATTTCATAAAGCACTTGCTTAAAATTAAGGGCAGGAAAGCATTTTATAGAGGTATGAAAACTGTCTCCAATATTCACCCAGCTTCAGAGAGATAAGTAGAACAATAAATACAGTATTTTATGGAAAACTATGATTTAAGAGTAATACAATTCCCACAAAAGGAACTACAATCAGATTTAATTCCAAAATGCTTTATATGGAGAAAAATTTACCAAAAACTGTATTTTATATGATAGTTCTACACAAAACCTTTTCTTTTCAGGACTTTGTATAATTTTAAATAAATGTTGGTTTAGCTCAAAAATACCAAATTTAAATGGAAAATATGTTTAAAATTCTTTCAATGTTTGAAGCATGAAATTTCCAACGGAAAAAGCTTTTCTCTGAAAAAATCTGAGGGACGTGTATTTTCCGCTTTGTGTGAAATAAAAGTATCCAGTCAGTAACTCTCGAGCTTTTACTGCAGCTTTTGAGGTCAAGAATAGCTTAATTAAAAATGTCTGGGCTTTTAGCACCACTGCACTGGGCAGTGATGCTTCTTCATTCTACACCTCAGCTTTCTATGCCTCTTCTCCCTCTACCACACTCAATTTCAGGTTAAACATAGACTTTACAAAGACCATGTGCTTTCTTGAAAGTCTTGATCACCAAGTGATATGTTGTTCTGTCGCAGCAATTTTACACTGAGAGAACGCTGATGATTTTGTTGAATGTTACTTTTTCCTATATTAGTGAAACCGAGGAGAGTTTTAGCTGTAGCATCACTCAGATGGCATGGAATTTGTTTCCTAATCAGAAGTTTTGCTTTATCCATGTGTTTTGTTGTAATGTCGACTTTGCAACACTCCATCCGAGGGGGGGAGCTTTTTGACATAGGTTTGTGTTTATATAGACAGCTTCCTAAGCTCAAGCAAGATATTCTCTACAGAAGGGTCAGTCCTTCTTTCTCCATGGGTAATTGTTACAAGCAATCAAAATGATGGACATTTATTTCCTGGTATGGCTTTGAGTATGATTCAAAATAAAAGAGTAGTTTGACAACCAGCATGACTAATGTCTATATAAGCTTGACATATTTTTAAATTTCAAGGATAAATGCACAGCCATAATGTAAGGGAACTTTTAATAAGTGTGCACAAGATTTCTGATGTTGTTGAGAATTATTAATACCTGCCTAAGATAAAGCATACACAAAAACAGATTTTCTCTTTCTCCATACAATTTTTAAAGCCAGTGTGTTTCTATACTCAGGACTAAAAAAAAGGGGAAAAAAATGTATTTGGGGTAGGAAATAGATACGCTTTTACTCGCTTTTGAAAAATCTGGTTTTGAGTCGGCAGTGAAATGGCACTTAAAGATCTGTGTGCATTCTCTAGATCCTAAAGGGGAACACTTCAGAACCATTGTAGTCCTCCACAAGAGAATTTCACTTGAGATCGTAGTTTCTCTCAACATCTAAGTTACCATTCAAATCTCCTTCTGTAATAGAAATACATTGTTGGCTTCAGCTTCATGAGTGGAAACTCATGTATGTTTAAAAAACATCTTTCTCTCTATTACCAATAACTGACATTTTGCCTAAAATCCTCATGCATTACAGTAAGAATTTTTAGGAAAGTTCTATAACATCAATTCAGAAATGGTAAAAACTAGACAGGTGGTTTTGGTATGCTGTCCATTTTCACTGTTACTCAATTTCAGTGTCTTGAAGGTGTCTTTGCAAACTCACTCTAACTTCCAGATGTTTGGCTTACTAATGTCAAATGTTTGCTTTCAGATATCAACATGGCAGGAGAACCAAAACCATACAGACCAAAACCTGGCAACAAGCGGCCACTTTCAGCACTTTACAGGTAAGTGAGATTTCATCTTAACTAAAATTCAATTTTTATCAGAAAAATTATAGTAACCTGAAATGTATCTACCAATGTCACTAGGTAGCCCACGAATGAGACAAAGGAATTTTTTTTACATTCACTCTTTGAAGTTCATAGGAAATATAATCAGGTTCCCGTACACACTGAAAGGTTTTGAATGTGAGTGAAAGAGCCAGTATTATAGTGTCTGATACTACGTGTATCTGTTGACTCATTCCAAAGTAAAATGTTCCAACTTACGGTGATAAAGACTGTCCATATGATGCCTGTCTTAAAAAACTAAGGCTAAGTGGGAGTAAGCCCAGCAAACAAAATGCGTGACTAATAATTAGATCCAGTGATCACAATATGCACATAATGCCCCTCTTTTGGTTGGAAACAAACACCAGAACTTCTGTTTGCTGCAAAAAAAAATTAAAATACTCGGGATATTTAAATGATAATGCAGACATTCAGAAGAATAAATAAAACTAAATCAGTTGGACCAGAATTATATTTCTTAGTGAAAATATCCTATGTTTTACTGAGGCCAAAAACCTGGTCTCTGCCTGCTCAGTGTTCACACTGTGGATGTTATTTGCCAATGCAAGAACAATGCAAAGGAAGGGGCTGCAGCTTTAAACTGTAAGAGGTATTACACATAGAGTCTTGTGATACTAAAAAGCTATTCGGAAAGATGTTCGACAGTTGCACTCCTTTGGGTTGAAGTAGCAAAATGCAATTGCCTTTCACAGGTCTTGTTCCAGGGCTGCTAAAGCCACTGGGGTTGTACCTGGTGAATGTTAAGTGCTGTAAAACCCCACCTGAGTGCTCAGTCTGGAACTCAAGCTTTGAATTTAAATATTTTTTGCATGAAAAAGTTGTTTGTTTATTTATTTGTTTATACACTGGTAATTTGATTTTCCCTCCATACCTCCTTTTACTTTTTCTGAAGTGAAAATGGAAGTGCAAGAGAAAAGTAGCAGACTTTAAGCCCATGTAAAAGCGTAATGTTTAAGAAAATTATAATGAAGTAGACAATAAAGTTATAAACCTATAATTTACTAAACCTACTGACAAAAAGACTGGTGTAGTGATTTCTGAAGTGTTTATTAATGTCCCCACTTCTAGCACTGCAATCAATAAATTTTTTTGTTCTTTTTTTTAAATTGAGTACTATTTCAGTTTTTAATTGTTATGGCTATGGTCTCGTTCTTGTGACTTTTTTATTTGCAGGGATCAGTGAAATAGCCAATAATTTCAGAGCAACAGAACTGGTTTCTTATTGATTTGTGCGTCAAGGGTGAGAACTAACTTTTAACAAGACTCGACTTCTTCCCTGGGTGTTCAGGAGGCATTGACAGCGTCTTTCTCCTCTTCCTAGGTGTCTTTCTTCATACAGCTTGTACAAACTTGAAGAAACCCCCACATTTGTTTCAAAATCAATTAAGCTGAGTGAAGCATTACAGATTGTTAGGGGGATTGACAAGCAAACACGCACACGTGCATTTCTGCTCAAGAAACCTCACTTCTCACAAAAGTGCTACAGAATTTATGCTCCAAATCCATTAAAGGAGTTAGGGCTGATTTCTACTGTGGCTGAAATGCAGATAGACTGGCTCTGAGACCAACAGCTCAGCAGTGAAATCAGACACACTTGAGCAGGACTTTTTCAAACTTGGTCTGGTCTGAAAGCTTCAGATGGAAATTCAAGGGTGGGATCTCAGAATAAGACAGCCAGGAGCATTTTAGATCTGAGCCTGCTTGCTACATAATAGTAATGTTAAGTTTTATCATATAGTTGCCCTTAGCTGAAATGATGGAAATATTATTTTTGGAGAACAGAACCCCTGTTTTATCATTACTCTCAACTGCAAGCTGTTAAACTCCGTAGGTGTTACTGGTAGCCATGGTCTACTGTGTCCCTGTGCCACTATTTCAAAGGATTTTTGAAGATGTTCTGTGGTTTCAGGCATTTATGTACACTTCTACCTCTGAGCTTCTGAATGGTTTCTCACAAATACTTGCTCTACAGACAAAATAGGGATAAGAGAGGGACCTGTGGAAAGTTCAAAGGGAACTTTAAAGAGAAAAAAAATCTTAGGTTGTGTCCTTTCATGAGTCTAGTACAGACTATTTCTCTAGAAGATTAGGAGAGGCTTTTCTGAGAAACTAACAGAAGCCTTCACCTGATGGTAACGGAGAGTATCTGTTAGCATAATAGTATGTGAGAAGATCAATGGCTTATAAAGTTCTTGACAACACTGAGAACATTTACTTATTTCAAAACATTGTACTGTGTCTGGCTGGGATGGAGTTAACTTTCTTCATAGGATCCCTTATGGTGTTGTGTTTTGGATTTGTTACTAAAATACACCAATGTTTTAGCTGCTGCTGAACAGTGTTTGCACAGAGTCAAGTCTTTCTCTTTTTCCTATTCTGCCTTCCCAATAAATAGGCTGGGGGTGGACAATAAATTGGGAAGGAATACAGCTGAGACAGCTGACCCAAACCGGCCAAAGGGGTACTCTATATCATATAACATCATGCTCAGAAACAAAAAAACGGGGAGGTTTTTCCTTCTAAAGCAGCTGTTGCTTAGAGACTGCCTGAGCTGCTTGTGGGAGGTGGAAAGTAATTGTCTTTGCATCACTTGTTATTTCTCTCCTTCCCTTATTACACAGCATTTATCTCAACCCATGAGGCTTTTTCACTTTTACTCTTCCTATTCTTTCCTTCATCCAGATAGGGGACAATGGTAGGGGAGTGAGATAGTGACCCTCTGGGTGTTGAGCTGCTGGCCAGGGTCAACCCACAAGATGGTGAAAGTTAAGAGGGAAGTGGTTACTTTAGATTTGATTTTGACAAAGACAGGCATTGGTTAAAAATTTAGTTGTCACAAAGTATTCACTGTGAAAAGGGAGGACTGAGAGCAGTAGAAATAGGATAATGGCTTTCAGAAAGGACAGACTTCAATGAACTCAGAGGATTGGTAAGTAGGATACCTTGGAAAGAAATTTTAGGGACAAAAAGAGTGCAGAAAATCTTGCATTGACTGTGCTTAAGGTAGAGCAGAAAATTCTCCTGAAGCTGAAGCAGCAGAATAAAGGAATAATATGGCAGCATCGAGTTCCTTTAACACCCTGAAAAGTGAAAATAAATTGTACAAAATAGGGAATCAAAACCCCATGACCGGAAGTGAGTAGAAAAGAACAGCAGTCATCTAACAGGCTGTCAGAAAGGCTAAGGCACAGAACAATATAAAAGGCAATAAAAAGATTGTCATTAGGGTAACTTCCTCTGCTTTTTTATACTGCTGTTACTCAGTGGGAAGGACAGCAGATAGTAGATGGTACAGAAAAGGCTTCTTTAACTTTAGCAAAAGAGAGTAATTGACCAGCTATTTAAGAAAATCTATTTTAACCAGAGGGCATAGAATAAAAGAATTGGCTAACCAGTATTTAAACAAGTGAATTAAATGGAAATAGTATGATAAGATTCACCCTAGAGTGTTTAAAGGACTAGCTGAATCTGTGTGTGGACTGTTACTGATTGTTTTCAAAAACTTATGGAGGTCATGTAAGGTAGAAAACCAGTGGGTATGGACAGGTATTATAGCTATTTTTAAAAAGAGGAGGACCCACAAAGTTTTCAGGTCAGCCCAGCTTTGATTCCCAGAAATATACTAGAACAAATTATTAAACTATCAATTTATCAACACCTAGAGGATAATAAGATGGAAGAAAAATTGGGAGCTAATTATGTTGAAGCAATATAATTTCCTTCTCTGACAAGACAGCTGATTTAGTGGATAAAGAGGAAGCAGTAGATGTGCTATATGCTAATTTAAACAAGCTTTGACACTTACCTTGTGGAGTTTTCATAAGCATGTTCAGGAAACAGCTAGAAGAAACTGTCTTGAGGTAGACATACAACAGAAAAACAGTGACTGTGTACAACATAGTATTAAGGATAACAACTATTGTTAGTTCAGTCTCCTTTGTTACAGATTTTTGAAGAGTATTTTTGGATATTTGAGACATTTAAGAACAGTTTTAAGGTAAGCAAGCATAAGTGCTGCACAGGGTTGCATGATATTATTTAGTGTGAAGTGCTTGAGACTTCAGACTTGTTCAAAGTGCTCTGCATCTCTGAAAAGAAACCTGCATCACATTTATAGCTGGATGTGCACATGAGTGATTAATACAGAGCAACCGAAGTCTATGATGTGTTATAGCCACATAATTTGCTTATGTGTCCAAGTTAGATCCACTTTTGACTGGAATAGTATAAGAATACTTTGTCATGCCTCAGTTCAGGATCTACATTCCTTTTTTTTATTCTTTATAGTTTTATAATCTGTGTGGAAGTAATCTCATTTAACCTCACCTATGTGAAATTTAGCATGAGCCTACAAATGAGACACACCATTTTTTTTCAGCTGTAGAAATAATGAGATGCAAGACAGACAAGCATATATAATTTCTTCTTCAACTTATTCAATCAGTCATTCACATATCCAAGCTATCCTTTGTTCTTCAGTTTATTTTTCCACTTATTCTTCTTTTCACATCTTGTTGATACTAGCATTCCTGGTACAGTTTATAGAAAAAAAGGCCACAATTAAAAGTGACACAGAATTTAAAAGGCATCAGGGACCCAATGAAGTCAGCAAAAGCTTTTGTCATTCATGGGACTAGAATTCACTTCCACTTCTTCTTCTTCTCTCTTGAATGTAATTTAATACTCTAATTCCTACCAGATGAAGATCCCTTTGACCACAACCCTTGACTGCTGGAGAACAGACTTGCACTGCTTGGAATAATGCCATGGGACACTGTCCCAGAGAAAAGAGGGGGCCAGGAGAGTTGGCTGAATTCCAAGGATCATCTCCTTCAAGTTCAAGAATGATTCATGTTGATGAAGAAGAAATCAAGCAAAGGTAGCAGGTGCCCTACACAGATGAACAAGGACCTCCTGAAAAAATTAAAACACAA